CTTTGTGCAGTTTCTGATGTTTTAAATTTCATATCCACACTCCACAATATAGCTCAGATGTACTCTTCAGTATACTTTTATTTCATTATTAGTCATTGTATTTAATTGACCAATATTATTTTTCTATTTGAACATGTTTTCTGTTAGTTCACGTCATGCAGTTATGTATGAAATTGGAGCTGTTTCAACAAGTGCTTGTTCATTATGGCGTATTGAACATAAGAAAACTAAATGGAGTGCTGGTTTCTTTTCATGGGGTTCTGAAATTCGTTTAAGGCATGTAACTACTGGTCGTTATTTGGGTGTATTACCCAGTGAGGCTAATGGAAGCGGACATTGTGATGTTGTAACTTTATCAGCACATGAAGCAACAAATGCTGCTTCAATCTTTTTGATAAGACCTACTAAAGTATGCTTATTGTTTTTAATGGTTCATTTACCTCCTTTAATTATATGATAAATTTGAGTTAGACTAATTTACTACTTATTTAAAACAATTGTGTTATGTTTGCTAACTTGTTGTACAAATGATCAATTTATATAGATAATCTTCCTAATAAAATTCCAAAAGCTCTCGTCACGTTTCTAGTAATCATTGATAGTTCGCAGTTACACTAATTATTGCTTTCAAACAAAATTTAAGGTGTGATACAATGCAGTAGATGATAATTACTCACTTTGTACTGATTGTCTAAATATTCCCATCAAGTTTTCTGACTGCAATTATTCAACCTTTTTGACATATATGCATCTTGTGCGAATTGTCTCTAGATTCCCTTAAGGTTATAAACATGATTGGCTGAGGTGAACAGTGGCTAGCAGTAAAATACAGGATGCGCATTTGGTCCTATCGGTAGCTAAGTGGATCATGCGATGACATTTGGAGCGAACGGTAATGGGTTCAAGTTTCGGAGTGAAAATCAACCCTGAGATGCAGGTACATCCGGCTAATGAGTCCCGAATATGGTGAAAGACGCGTTCTGGATTCCACTGCTAGCCACTATCTAACTCTGCTAATAATACTTGTAACCTAAAGGCAATATTGAGACAATCCGCACAGTACTCACGTAGTCCAAAGACACTAATCAATCGCAGTTGTAAAGATCAGTCAGAAGATTCAAACGACAATTACTTGCTTTAGTAAACCCTTGAATATTTGATTAGTTATAATATATTTTGGTACTTATCTTGTATTACTCGTTTGGGGACAAATGACAACAAATATTAATGCTAATCAACAAAGATTATAAAAATAAACACACTATGAACTAAAATGTTGATATTCACAATAAGTAGGCTTTGTAAATGTGAAAACTGGAGATTAGGCAGTGAACTAGTTGTGTATCAGTCAAAGCTGTCATCACCATTGTTTTTCTTAATATGAATAACACATTCGTAAACATAAGAATATCAGTTTGATAGAATAAAAATATTATCAAATTATACTAGATAATATTTTAGATGGTAAGTCAGTTATCTTCTTACATTTCTAGGGAAACAAAATGATTCTTTATTGCACCTCAACTTTTATTTATTTTCAGGATGATAAAAAACGTTCAGAAGAACATGAAGCTGAAGGTATGGGTGAACCAGATCTTAGATTAGGTGAAACACTAACCTACCTTCAACATGCAGCATCCGGTCGATGGTTATCCTATGAAGCATATGAAACACGTAAACGTGGTGTTGGTCGTGTAGAAGAAAAAAAAGCTGTCCTATTAATTGAAGGTCATATGGATGACTTATTTAGTTTAGTAAGAGCACAAGATGAAGAAATTAGATCAGCATCAGCAATACGTCGTTGTACATCCGTGTTTAATAATTTTATACATACATTGAATTATATATCATCACCGCAAAACATTACTTTACCATCACAACAAAGTCAATATAATTTAAGCAGTGGACATTTATTAGGTGAAGTAACTCAATGTTTAGAAGATTTGATAGAATTTTTCGCTCAACCCAATCCACATGAAGAACATGAAATTCAACAATCTAAATTGACTGCTTTAAGAAATCGTCAAAATTTGTTTCAGGTAAATGATTGTTGCTTTTATTACTATCATTTACTGTCATTTCACTGCATGAAGTGAGATTTATTGCATGAATTCGTTGCTTAAAGGATAAATAATTCATCTTTCATGATAATTGATTTTGCTTAAACTAGCAAAATCGTTTGATTATTGAAATGCTAATAAACTGTATGCAATCTAGATTTCTTATAAAACTCAAAAGAACACAAATAACATTGTATTAGCTTATCGAAAATTTCTTTCTGGATAATGTCTAAGCACAAAGAGAGTAAATAGTTATTTGTGTGTTTAATGTTGTTTTTCCTGTACTCAAGAAAGTAATTTCTGATATGATGCTAAAGCGTAAATTATGAAATATATACAAAACTTTTGATTTGAGAATAATTCATATTTTGTAGATATAATTTCTTAAATAGTTGAATTAAAATACATAAATTTTCCCTAAGCTGTATCATATATGTTCAAAAGTTTGTACAGGTTTAGATTTAAACATATATCACTGTGTGAATAAATCATATCGGTTCTGTTCCACATGTTCATGAAATTGTGTTTCTCTGAAAATAAGTTATTTAAAATAGATTAATTTCATTTCAACTGCCATCATTTTTCAAATTTAACGTTTGAAATCAAGCAGTGGTAAATTTATGTATGTGATATTTGTCACACTACTTGATAATTATAAGTAGTATATCATCTTTTTTACAATTATCCAACTGTCCTAGTATTGTTTTAGTCTACATCTACTGAGATTGAGAGAAACGTACTATAAATGATAAAAATTATTTACTTTGGACCACTGTTTGAATCATATTGAAAATATTTACAAAAATGTCTTAGAGTCGTAATTCTAAGTTATTTGTAGTTCATGGCTAACTACTACTGCACAGAGATCACTGGTTGTATATGTTTTGTGTTAGACACCATATTGTCAAAACAAGTAAATTCGATAATGATAAATTAGTTTAGGCTTTTTTTATTTCCGATTATTTAATTTTCTTCTAGAATGAAGGTATGATTGGGCATGTATTAAGTACGATAGAAAAATTCACTGGGACATTTCAAACACGTCGAGAGTTTTCACAAGCTGTTGGTGAAGATAAAGCTGATCAGTTTGATGAGTTGGGTAATTATTTATACTTATTACTAGCTGCACTTATTCGTGGAAACCGTGAAAATTGTGCACAGTTTGCTACACCTACACGATTGGATTGGCTTTTCAATAGGCTAGAGTTACAACAAGGTTTTGCTGAAGGTGTTTTGGATGCTTTACATTGTGTTCTAACTGACAGTGATGAAGCTTTGTATTTGATAACGGAGCGTCACATACGCACACTGATTGGGCTACTTGATAAACAAGGTCGTGATCCAAGGGTAAGCATTGTTATTTCTAAGGTCTGATTCGATTTGTCCTTGTACGCGCCTTGTTTCTTTATATAGACTGATGTGGTTTGTTTGGAATAATGTTATCACATTGTTAATAGTAAAAAAATAGTCCTTTTCCGAAATATACCAAAACTGATACAGATGTTTGCTATACGAAGCTAATTAATTTACAAGAGGCATTCCAAATCAAGGATATTAATTTTCCATCAAAGTGTTGATGTAAACGATCGTTCGATAAAGTAACAGGATTTTTATCGTTTAATTCATCGTTAGTTCAAAATATTCCTAAATCAGAAGTTGTGTCCTTGATAGAACTAAGAAGACCATTTACAATGCATTTCAGACATTCATAGGCGCCCAACTTAATTACAGCCAAACCGAGAAAGAGGAGTTCACCCTTAAAATTTCAGTCAAGCAACTTGAAAAAACATTTTACGGTCGATGCTTCACATTATTTACAGATTATGAACTACTTTTCGGGGTTTTCGTATTTAATAATAGAGTTCTAGTCTATGCAGCAAACTATGTCTGAAGGTGGACTGTTACCCTACTGGACAACAACTTTCAAATCTAGCATAAACCTACTGTCTGTGATCAATTTGATGCGTTGTCAAAACTAATAGGTATCCAGAAATTTCATGATGGAAACCAAGTGATTGCTCATTTTTTAAGTACATAATGAGGTTTATGGTATTTTCATAAATGCTGTTGGGTTTTTCAAAATATATAATTTAAAATTATGAAGGGTCAACTAAACACGATCCTGGACATTTCATTCAAAATGAAGAAAGTATTTTCAAGTTGATGCTTTGCAGAAAACCTACAAATAATGTCTCAATTAAAAATGAGGTTTTAGGAAAGAACAAACATATAACTCATAATCTTGGTTACATATGTCAGTTGAAATAGTTTATTCCAATGATATTGAGAATTGTATACAAACATTAAGTTATTGATGTAATACTGCCAAATATTTTTCACTCTGACTATGGACCATAAAAACCAATCATATATATAGCTCATTGTTTTGATTTATTTTTGGTGCATAATAAATTTCCATCTGTAATCGCTGACTACTCCCAGGAATTGTGTAATTCGCAGTGTTTTATGTTTTTAAGTAACTAGTCTTCTGCAGTTATAATAAATGTTGTGTTGAGTTGTTATAGTAATAATGCATCAGTGGTTAGAGGAACTGTTACAGAAAACAAATCTTTTTTCAGGTTCGATCAGACGTTTTAGTGTTTATGGACTAGCAAAGCTTGGTTTAGTGCGTCAGATGATGTTATTTAAAACGTTAGTGTTATGAAATACAATTCTCCTATTGATTTATTAAAAAGTTTGTTTTTATATGTACCTAACGAAATGTATTTCTTAGGAAGAACATTGAAAAAAATATATGGTTGATTTTCACGACTTGACGAAACTAATGAAAATTTATTTAAATAGCAGAGTTTTAAATATGTTTTTGTGATATGGTATGTTGTAAATCTTTGTAAGGAAAAAAGTAATCATTCAACTAATCTTAAATTACATGGTTTCCTTGGAAATCTTGTTTTTGCTGAAAGTAGTAGTCTTGTGACAACTTAAGATCAGATGATAAACTATTGAAACCAGGTTCAATTAAGGTGTTACTTCGTTCTACTTTAAAACTTAAAAGATGTTGTATCCATCCACCACTTCATATGTAATAGAGCCGTTGACTTGTAGAATTCTCACAGCATACCACTACCTGTACGGATTCTAAAGTCCCATATATACTACCTTCAGTCAACTTGTGAAATAATACAGGATCCATTTATATTGAAACAAATCAAATTTGTGCTGCTTCCTCTTTTTCTATAGTCCTTTCATTGATAGTAGTTCCTAATGAAAGTTATCGTGCATTATAACCTTGAAATTTGTTTGCTTTCTCCTTTTCAATAACTACTTAATTCAATAGTATAACAAATCAATGACTTTTCTACAAACAAAGGCTTCACAATATATGGTACACATATCACAGGAATAATACGATGTGCATACAAGTCTTTACAATTCTTTGATTATTTTTTTTAGGTACTACAAGCATTATGTTCATTGTGTTTAGGACGTCAAGGTGGAGCTGTAAGATTAAATCAAGAGTTGATATATGAAACTTTATTGCCACAAAAAGATTTATTATTACAAACAAAATTAGTTGATCAATGTGGATCAGTTAGACCAAATATATTCGTTGGTTATAAAGATGTAAGTGTTATATGTGATGATTATTGATCATTCCTTATCTTTTTATTAATTTAATATGCATAAGAAAAAAAATTATCATGATGAGTGGAACAAATTTAAATCATCCACATGTTTTCTCCATACTGACCTTAACAAATCCATTTTAATTTCATACTGACTCGTTTTTTCTATGAAAGGTGTCACCTAATATCATACTCAGTCTCCATAAGTTAAATTAAAAGCTTTATATTTAAAAGCTTAATCGAAGCGACAAATGAAGTCGCAATTTCTATTAGTAGTTATAAAAGTTGCTTGTGAAATAGATGATAACGAAGTTGATGATAGATTGATAAATTTCAAAAGTTTTGAATGTCGTCTTGATTACTTCGTTTCTTCAGCGGTTTTTCCGTCTCATAGACGACTCATTTAGTATACTGAAATATGGCCCTCTAATACTTATTTGACGGAGAAAAACAAACGCAAAATAAAGTCCTAACAGTAAATATTGAATTTATTGTAGAATCGCTTATAACTTCAGATTAGTCAGTTGTCATCCACTAATTATAGGCTGAGATTGTCACAACTCAAATCATCATAGTGTGAGAGGAAATGAACAAAGTATAGAAATTAATATCAGCTACAATGTTAATCTAAACATAAGTGATACTGTTTTCAACGAAGAAATAAGAGTGTAGGCTAAGAAAAAGTTTGAAAATGGGTGGAACTATGACAGTGTGACCGATTTTATGTCGTGCAACCCAACCCCTTCAATCAAAAATAACGGCTACTAATCGAGTCTCAACAAAGCTTGAATCAAGTTGAATCCAAGTCGATAGACTGTACTTAGAAGTCAATGACAGTTGAGTTATTACCTAAAATAAATCGTTTAACAGTCATGTATTTATCTTCTAAAGTAATAACATTTGCTCACAAACACGGCTTATTGTTTTCATGTGCAATCTCTGAGATGCCCTTTAGAAACTGGAAACTTGAAAAACACCCTTCTGATAGATTTTTCAACCACGAAACATATCCTAGATAAAGTACTACGAATATCGATTATAATAAACTTCTAAAATGTGTTTCCTTAATTCAGAAAACATTTTGAATTTATTATTTTCTTCATTGTTAGGGTGGAGCGATGTATCCAAAGTGGTATTTTGAAGTAATTATTGATTCTCTTGAAACGGTTACACATCAACCAGCGAAAATTCGGGTTGGTTGGGCTAATACAGAAGGCTATAATGCTCACCCCTGTGGCGGACCTGGTTGGGGTGCTGCAGGTTTAGGCGATGATCTGTTTAGTTACGCGTTTGATGGAAGTTGTTTATGGGCTGGTGGTAAACCAAAACGGGCTACAATCGGAACAGATGAAACAACAAACGAAGAAGCAACATCTAACGTACCTTTGAAACGTGGTGATATCATTGGATGCTTATTGGATTTAACTGGACCTGTTATTCAGTTTAATGTGAATGGACGTCTAGTTAGGGGATACTTTCAGGTTAGTGTTTTTTTATTTAATGTCCATGATCAAATTATAAATCAAGTTTAACTTTTTCCCATAATTTCTACAGTGATTCCGATAATATATTACCTATATCAGTTAGATTATTTCAAGTAATTTTCACCTTCACAGATTATAAGAACTAGGAATCCGAAGAAGTGAAACAGACGAATTGATAGACTGTGGTGTATATCTATTTACTGCATCTATTCTTTGTAAAAAGCGCTCAGGAAAAGTAAGTGAAAGGCTTATGATCATTATGAATGTCTAAGGTTACCAATATGGATCTTGAAAGCTTAATAAACTGATCACCGAAATATATATATGAATATAAATCTTTGATTTGACGAATGTTTCTGTCCAAACATTCACGTCAAGTATTTAGCTTTTGCAAAACATTCTGTTATCGTTATATTCATAATAAACATGATAGTTTACATAAACTTTGAGTACAGTGAATGAATTCCACTGAATATTATCACTTTCATAAGGTTATTCAGCAATCAATTTTTTGGCTTCATCTGTAATATACATAGTACCACAGTGTGACACTTATCATCACTGAATTTATTTTTAATACACCTATCAATCACACATATATTGTTATTATTTATCAATATTTTTAGGATTTCAATATAACCGGTTTGTTCTATCCATGTATGAGTATGAATGCAAAAGCTAGTGCAAGATTTCTTTTAGGATCAAATCAAGGTCGTTTACACCATGGTCCTCCACCTGGTTACTCACCAATATGTTATGCTCGACAACCAGGACAGAAACTTCGTCTTGAACCTGTATTCACATTTGGTCAACTTGAAAAATATGTATTCACTGGTCCATTGAATTCACCAACACCACAACAATATGTATTTGTACCAAGAACAGTACGTACTTCACATGTAAGTATTATTACATAGCTTATTCAGTTTTTTTCTGATTTAGTGTTCACTAACAACATCAAAATTTGTTTATTGTTTATTGCAGTTCAATTAAAAAGACTACCACTGTACACCAGATTTACGTTTTGTCTAAGATTGGAAATTCTTAGCATTGCAATATATGGAAGGATCTAAAATTAGGACACTGCTCTTAACGTTTAACTGGTTCTCCATCTGATGTTATCCAATGGTTAAATGCATCTTCAGTTGAGCTCATTTTTACAAACTAGCCAATTGAACAATTAACCATTCACACTAATCTGTTATGAATATACTTGAGAAGGCCTTGTTCATTTACTACGATCTTATAATTTTAGGTTATTGTTTTTAAATCTTTCAGAAAATATCATATCGTTTAAAAATCATTGACACAATATTTGTCATTGAATTCTATTATTATGATAAAATTTTGTCATACATTTGACAATGATTACAGTTGTTTTTTTTTCTCCACATCTTTTCATTTTTCCCTAAGATTCAACTACCAAATTATGTGGAAATTGTTCGTGATAGACTAGCTGAGAATCTACATGAAATGTGGTCTATGCGTAAAATTGATCAAGGCTGGAAATATGGTGAAGTAAGTTTTTATCTACTAAACTAATGTGAGAAAAAAACTGCAGTAAAACATGAATGTTCATTGGAAATTAACTAATCATTTCAGTGTTTGTTGTCGGGAAAAAGTATAACTACTCAGTTTGTACTTAAGTTTAGAATGTGAAAACAACTGTATGTTTACCGTTGGATATAAATAATATGAGTTGGCTGAATTATAAATGCTTATAAATGAGAGTTGTTGATGTCTAATGGAAGACTTAAAGTAATTTAATTCATTTATTCACTCTGATCTTGTATTGCCACAGTCTGACATTCAGTAATAGTTTACATAGTCATTTTAACGAACTGAGTAGTTGATTGGCACATATTTCATAGTTTCTTAACGTATTTAAAAAATGTATATTTGACGATTTAAATCACTGGTATAATAAGTTATCATTTGAAGTGTAACAAGTGTTTAGGGATCAAGAATGATGAGGTGAAAATACTTATTTGTTTATTTTCCGCACAACAATTGACTACAACACTGGGTGATTGGTCTTTAGCTAAAGCCTAATGGATGATTGGTATTAACTGTATAGTAGATAAAACATCCTATTTGTAACCTGAGATCCATCCAATCTAATCCAGTTGTGATCAATGTCTTCTTCTTTGCTTGATCAGTATCCCAATGTCATTGGCAGAATGTGATAACCAACACTATTTCTGATATGCTGACTAACGTTTTACAATTAACCATCTCAAATCACATTCACTGTTATTATTTTTCTGTATTTAACTAAAATAATGTAAATTATTACTAACGGACATCACTGAGAAATTGGTATTGTTTCCCTCTTGTTCGTTGTCTCAACCAGTTTCAGTGGAATAATTTAATGAGGTTAGTCGGTGTTTTAAACAACAAGCACTACGATCGGGTTTTGGTGTAAACATCAATGCGCATTCATTGGACGAGTCTTACACATAATGAACTACTCATTCTAGAATTTTTTTCTAGCCAGGAAAATGTAATTTCTGTTTAGTATTATATATATATATATATATATATATATATATATATATTTATATATATATATACAAACTACAATCACAAGTATAATACAGCGTAGTCTAACACAACTAATTTTGAGCAACATTCGTGGTTTTAGTCTGCCGATTGGATGTCTAAAATTCATTGCAATAATTCTCAATGGTCAAATGAATTTATATCTTAATTTAATGATTATCGTTATTTTTCATCTTCAATCTTCTATAAATGTTAAAATATCCTTTATACTTTTGTTTTTTTTTAAAAAATAGCGTCGAGATGATGAGAATAATCTTCATCCTTGTTTGACTACATTTGATAAATTGCCACCATCAGATAGGCAATATAATGTAACACTTGCCTATGAAACATTAAGAACAATAATTGGTTTAGGTTATAATATTACTTATGAACCATTACCTGAAGGTACAAGAATGCGAACAATGAAACTATCAACCAAGTAAGCATTTATATGAACATAGTTAAATAATAATAATAATAATAATGATAATAATAATAATAATAATAATAATAATAATGATAAGTGACCAATCTATTTTCATTTCTGAATCATTTTTTTTAAACCTATGATTGATTGAAGCAGACTATCTAACTGAAACACTGTTCACACGAATACAATATTTCAGCAACGTTCAGAACTGTTTACCGAATGTAATGAGCGAGAATAATGAAGGATAATAGGTTAACAGTGATAAATTAACAAACAAAAAAAGGTAATGTGTCACACAGCAGAGGACTATATCTTATTTGTGTAGTATCCAACAGTGGCAAGAAAAAACCAACAGAGAGGTAAAATTCATTAAAATAATAAGAGAGAGAAAGAGATAACTGGACAGTAATAGTGTTCTTTATAGTTAAAAAGTTTCACAATTATACCGTAAGAGCCTACATCTCATTGAACACCTTAGGCTAAGTGACGTTAACCTCAAAGGTTATTACCTAGTTTTGTTCAATCTTTTCATATCAGTTTGTAATATCGTCGACTGATTTGAAATCAGCGTCATTATTTTATCAAACAATTCACTGAAATATGGGATGTTATTTGAAAGTAGCTATGATGTACCACTTGTATCCTTTGTATGTCTTTTAAGTTTACTGACTATTTAAGAGTATTATGCAATAGGTCACAATGGACTTTAAAATCTCTTTTGCATATTGAGCAGATGATTTTGCTTACATTATTTGCAGTATTGATTGTATACTGAGAATATTTCTTGTCAACCAGAAATAACTATTCGAAGGACTAATTACAAACCAAAATATGTAATGAAAACTTCTCAACAGTATACGAAAATTCACTCAACTAACCTAAATTTCAACAGGAAGCCTAATAACTAGGCTTAGAAGCCAGTAATGATAGGCTACGAGTGTTTATAAAAAATAAAAGTTATTTAATAAGTATAGTTGTGGTATTTCAGTAAAATGCTCGTTAATGTTTTGACGTTTAAAGCATAGCTAGAGTTAAGTTCAGGTTTCAGCAAACGAAAAGTAACAAGTTGACCTGATAAATTTTTAACTACAATTTCAACCATTAATAAAAATACGTTACGCGTCTTCGTGTCTGTTCATATTAAAAGCTTTTTATAGTTCATAAATATATGAACTGAGTTCCTGTAACTAAATAAATCCTTATTTATTTTATAATGAATAATAACGTTTGACCTACTATTTAAAATGTTGAACTATTGATAAAACTTTTGTTATCGTATTTTATTTTTCTTACTACTATCAGTACACCTGTCTTCCTACTGTCAGCTTGTACTTTTGCCTATTATGTGTAGTGACATAATCTATTTCATTTTATTGTGACTATTGACTCAAACTGCGTTGTTCAGTTTAACATTTTCATATAAAAATTCATGTATATTAGAGAGTAAAGCCTGATGACGATCTAATCGAAATATATATATATATATATATATATATATATATATATATATATATATATATATATATATATATATATAAGTTCATATAGAAGACACAAATCGCATCTAAGATTTATGAAAATTTAGTCAAAATATGAATAAACGGATATTCCAAACTATTATCAATTAGCTTAAAATATAATGAAATTCAATATTAAATAAAACTAGAAACAACAACAGCTAACTTTTACCATTTTCTTTACCTTTTTTCCCACATAATTATAATTATTAAAATTAAAAAAAATTAGCTTTACTCAAGTGAATGGTTATAAACCTCAACCATTGGATTTGTCACAAATTCGTTTATCTGTACGTTTAGAAGTATTAGTTGATCAGTTGGCTGAAAATACACATAATATGTGGGCACGTGATCGTATTGCATTAGGATGGACTTATGGTTTTGTTGAAGTAAGTAGTTGTTCAGTTAATTATTCTCTATTAATTTATTGGATTAATTAGTCGATTTTGTCTGTCACTCAGTCACTTACAACGTAGAACGTCGTACATAAGTACATCAGTTCAGGTTGCCATACCACATTAGTACTGAGACGCATTTGTTAGTTCGAATCCCATAGTGGTGGAGATAGCAGAAGAATTAGGGATCGAAGATTTTATTCAAGAAGTACAGTTCAATGAGATAACTTTAGAAAGAGAAAGATAGAGATGATGAATAATCTTAAAGATTAGAATTTCAGAGAACATAAAGAGTTTATGCACCTGCGCCATCGCAAACGATTTCGAGCCATGTCATTCAAGGTCTCTAACCATCGGTGACCTTCGTCTCGCGGACCCCAACCGGGTAGTCAACATCTACCAACATGACTCAGTCCACTTGTCGGTGACTTCAAGCATTTCTACCATGTTTTGGTTTGAACACCCATAACTTTCTTCCAACCTACTCCTACACCACAAAACATAGCTCGATGAGGCAGTCGGCAGTTGGTCATACGTGACACATGTCCCTACCACATCAAACGATCAAGTTTCACTACTTCATCAATTGATCTCCCACCCTTACCTAGCATCCGTTTCCTAACGACAGCATTGCTAACTCGGTTGTCCTAGGATACACGAGCGATGCTTCGGAGACACCTATGATCGAAAACAAGCATCCTACGAATATGCTCCACTATGACTGGTTATGTTTCATAGCTATAACGTAAGACGGAGCGAACTACTGTGCAGTACACTCGTTCTTTAGTCAGCAAACGGATATCTCGCCTACGCCATAATTGACGCAAGTTAGCAAAAGCCAATCGAGCCTTTTGTATCGCTGTGAGATTTCATCACACACCAGGCCATCAGCACTGATAAGACTCCCTAGATAAGTGAAGCGGTCTAAACGCTCGACCACTTCACTCCCAATCACTAGTTCGGGTGACGTCGCAAGCCAATCCTGAAGCAACATTTTGCGTTTCGAGGTGGAAAGTCGCATCCCGAATATGCTTGCATTGTTGCTTAGGGTAGTCAGGAGACACTGAATTTTGTCAGCATCTTCACCAAGTAGAACTATGTCGTCGGGGTATTCTAAGTCAACCAACGAATCTCCTTGTAGAAGGTCTACTCCTGCAAATTCAGATGATGATAATGTTATATCAAGAAGCATGTCTATGACAAAATTAAACAAGAACGGAGAAAATTCGGTTTTATCCTACTCACACAAATGTTAAATAAAGAAGACAATGATTATGATTTTAAAAAAAATTAATTTAGTAATTTAATTTAAAAATGAATCCTATGAATAATAAGCTATTTAAGTAATTAAGGATAATCCTATCGACAGT